CGTGTAGACAATCAGGCGGGGGGGGAGGGGGGGTGTTGGAGGTCTCCCCAGCCCGGTCCTCAGCCACATGAGCTGTAACAAATACCCGGCGCACGTCTTTCGTTTTGTCAAATCTCATTAAAGGAGCCCTTCGCTTCATGTCGATTGAGCTGTCTGAAAATCATTCATCATTTTTAGCGGAAACAAAAAAAAGCGCCCGTTATTTAAATAATATCATATTAATGTTAAAGTTCAGTTGTCACTTAGCGCCCGGGATTAATCAGACATAACATTTAGAGAAAATAGTTTATTCTCGCCGTTCCGGCCTTTTAGGCGAGCGTCTGAAATAAGGATTTATGGCATCGGCCGTCCCCGAGCTTCTCTTTCTGCTTGATGTACCGCACCTTCCGCGCCGGAGACGCGGCCGCTGTTATCGGATGCGGGGAATCCTTTCTTAACTGCTCATTTGGATTCATTTGGTGGTTATTCGGAAAGGGAGAGCCGCGGGATCGTGTTTAAAAATCTTTCGGCTTACAGAGACAAAGTGCACTGTGGGCACCTTCGGAATGACGGATTTGTTCGAGGCCGAAGCTGTTCATGGACCTGAGAAGGCATCTGGACACTGTCAGGTCATTAATTGGCCTAAGGTGGCAATAGGGCAATGACACCATCAGACTTGGTCTAAGGTGACTTCTAGGCACTTGGGCACTAGCAGACCATTGAGTAACCTAAGGTGGCATCTAGGACACATGGATGCTGTCAGACTTTCGATTGGCCTAAGGTGGAATCTGGGTGCTTGGGCACTATGAGACCATTGTTTAGCCTAAGGCAGAAACTGGGTGTGCACTGTGAGATTATCAAATGGCCTAAGGTAGCATTTAGAGTGTATGGGCACTGTCAGACCATATCTTGGTCTAAGGTGGCACTTAGGCACTGTCAGACCATCGATTAGCCTAAGGTGGGATCTGGGCTTTGTCAGACCATCAATTGGCATAAGGTGGTTTCTTGAACGCCTGGGCAACGTCAGACCCGTGATTGGCCTAAAGTGGCTCCTGAGCTTTGTCAGGCCATCGATTGGCATAAGGTGGCTTCTTGAATGCCTGGGCACTGTCAGACCCTTGATTGGCCTAAGGTGGCTCCTGAGCTTTGTCAGACCATCGATTGGCAAAAGGTGGCTTCTTGAACGCCTGGGCACTGTCAGACGCTTGATTGGGCTAAGGTGACATCTAGGTCACTTGAGCACCTGTCAGATCATCCATTGGCCTAAGCTGGCATCTGGGCCCTTGGACCCTGCAGATCATCCATTGGCCTAAGCTGGCATCTGGGCCCTTTGAACCTTTCATATAATCAATTGGCCTAAGGAGGCATCTGGGCGCTTGGACCCTGCAGATCATCAATTGGCCTAAGGTGGCATTTAGAGTGCATGGGCACTGTCATATCATAGATTGGCCTAAGGTGGCACCTGAGCACTTAGGGCCCTGTCAGGCCATTGATTGGCCTAAGGTGGGATCTAGGAGGCTTTGAGACTGTCGGAGCATCAGTTGGCATAAAGTGGCAAGGAGGGTATGTGGGCACTGTCAGGCCATCAATTTATATAGAAAAACACCAGCTTTCATCTTTCAGTGTTGCATGTTCACATGTTGGGAAGGCAATGTACAAAATATTTGCACAGAAATGGGCTTTATTTTTTTTTTCCTCCCACACTAGCACGCTGGTTAGAGCCCAGAGGTCCGGATGCTACGAATATCTATTCACAGCACACAGGCTGAGTTCACCATTGCATTATACAATAAATTGGCACATGCCATGGTATCTGATTGGTACATTGTGTCATACTCAGTCGCCTTTATTATACAGACATTCCTGCGGTGAAGCTTTGTATCGTCGTTGTGTAAGAGAATGATAATTAATTATATTTATATAGTGTGCACTGCAATGAGGAAACTGTTTGAAAGGTGGGTGTCCTGTGACCACAGATGGCAAACAAAATCACGGTGGTGACCCCTTTCTGAATGATAGGAGTTAGCTGGATCTTTTATTTTATTATAAGGACATATTTTGAGTAATTATTATTATTATTATTATTATTTTTTCCTTTAACCTAAAAAAAATGTTTTTTGTTTTTTTTAAATTAATTCTTTATTCAAATTTTAAATATATATCAATAATATCATTTACAACTCCTTCTATTATTTCTTCATATACGTACACATATACTGTATACCATTCCAAAGGAAAAGAAAAGGAAAACAACAAAAAGAGAAAGAGAGAGAGAGAGAGAAGAAAAAACCCAACCATAATATTATACCTCTTACCTCTTTTTATTATTCAAGTATTATGACTATTATTATACAGGATTTATAGAGGGCCAACAGTGTGCGCAGCGCTTTACAATATAAGGAAGACATTACAATCACAACACAATTCAAGACAAGATGGTAAGGAGGGCCCTGCCCCTGAGGGCTAACAGTCTAAAAGGGAGGGGCAAGTGATACATAAGGAGGTAGCTGTGTGGAGGGATTGGTAGAGAGGGGTGGTGGATGGAAGTCAGTGCAAGGATTGGCAGAGGGAGGTTGCAGACACTGAGCGGTTGGTTAGGTGAATGAGTCTTGCAGCACCATTCATGATAGACTGAAGGGGGAGGAGTCTGTGTAGTGGAAGGCCAATGAGGAGGGAGTTGCAATAGTCAAGGCGAGAGATAACAAGTGAGTGGATGAGTAGTTTTGCGGTTTCATTGGTGAGGAAGGGGCGTATTTTGGAGATGATTTTCGGCAATTGTTTATGATGCGCAGTGTAAAAGTAAACTAAATGTCATCGGTTGGGGTTCACTATAAAATAGTTCCCGAGTCACACGGGACTACAACATTATAAGACTGAAGTGTTGCCGTCTAATTTATTATTATTATTATAATACAGGATTTATATAGCGCCAACAGTTTGCGCAGCGCTTTACAATGTAAGGAAGACATTACAATCACAATACAATTCAAGACAAGATGGAAATTATACATGAGGAGGGAGCTGTGTGGAGAGGAATTGTTTGAGACATTGATATTTCGGTGGTTAGGTTGAGGTGGGATAAGTTTCCCTGAAGAGACGGGTCTTAAGGGATCGCCTAAAGGTAGTCAGAGTGGGAGATAGACGGACAGTTTGGGGTAAAGAGTTCCAAAGAATGGGGGAGACTCTAGTGAAGTCCTGGAGGCGAGTATGGGAGGAGTTGATGAGGGAGCTAGAGAGCAGGAGGTCTTGGGAGGAGCGGAGGGGACGGTTAGGGTGATACTTAACCTGTCCAGGAGCGATGAGGAAAGAGAAAACATGTCTAATATTGGATCAGATTTAATATTCCAAAATGATTCCAATTTTCCTTCCAGAATTCCCCTTTAAAATCTCCATTGGTCACACAGACCCCGATCTCCGACTATT